ATAGACGAATTATTAGAACAACTTAGAACAGAATTTCACCCTTTACGATTTGAATATTGGATATCATATAAAAATAGAATACCTTATCCAAAAGACAAATTCGATCTATGAACTCGAGATACTAGAAAGAAAATACTACAACAAAGACCACCACATAGTATATAAAAAGATATTCAAAAGACATTACAAGATTTACTAACAAGAACCAATCCAATTAATAGTTTAAAACATGGAGCAATATTAAAACTATTAGACGCTTCTATACAAACAGCAGCACTAATAACATTCAGCTAAACAACTTATTAGAAGTGTGATTATAATCAAAGAGAAAAAATTCTAATTAACTTAACAGATATACATACATATATAGAAAACTTTTTATTCAATCTAGAACGATTAGAAAAAGAATCTAAAATACCTTTTAGAATACTTAGAATATTACAAACCACACTAGTATCGATACAATTACTCTTACAAACACAAGAAGTAACACCAAGTACATATGAATTACATGAATCAATAATTACAACTGAACAAAGACTACAACAAGCTCACCTATTAAATAGAGCTCACACAACACAAGAAGAAATTAGAACTGCCGAAGCAATAGAACAAAAAATAATAAATAACTCTAGATATTATAGAAGTACTGATGAAGATTATACTGATCAATTAGAACATCTAACACCTGAAGGAAAGTATATTTATCAAGAAATATTCTTTAGAAATATAGGACACGAAGACGCATATGAAGAATATTAAAATCATACAAAAGGAAAAGAACCAAAAATAAAAGAAATATCAACCCAATACGATCTAAATGATCTTAAACAATCAAATCTTTATTACACCTTTACAAAATCAAAAGGAAAACCAATATACATTCCTAGAAGAAATAATTGAAATAGATAAACAACAAATAACTGTTTACAGAAAATTATCTGAAAAAATGAAATATATACCATAGGAAAAGGAAATTATATTCTTGATTGAATAGCAACTCTACCCTCAGAAAAAACAGTATTTATAATATGAAAAGCATATACTAGAATAAAACAAGTAATCAAAACAATACAATTATTAGAAATACCTCTTTTGGAAGAAAAAGAAGAACTCACCTTACAAAACGCCTTTGAAAATAAAAAATATGTTAACTTATTCTTATTTATCAAAGAAATACAAGAATTAGAATTAATACAAAAAGAACTACAACAATACTTATTTGACAATAGATTCACATCTGACGACAGTGACAACTATTTAGCTCAAGATACAAGACAAAGAGCTAACTATATCAAAGCAAGATTAAATAAATACCAAAGAACTGGAGAAACAATAAACCCATCATACAGAATAGATTACCCATCAGATGAATACTGAACATAATAAGAAAAAGACAAAAATTTCAGAAAAATATTCAGAAGAAGAATTACATTATTATTCAGAACTATATTCATTATGAACAACTGAAACATCTATATTACTAGGAGAATATTCAACTGGAACACAATTAATATTCACACCAAAGGCAATATACGACAAATATCATTATATTTTAGTAAAGAAACAAATACTACGAATAACATTCTTAGAACACGACAACTATATTAAAACATTCTATAAAGAAAAACATCTACAAGACCTTATATTACAAATATTACAATTCTATTGAAGCACAAGAAATAGATATGCAAAAGTATTTTATAAACAAAATAATAAACACCTAACAATAGATAACCTCGAAGAATCTAAAAAAGTTCACCTTATTACTGAAAAAATAATAACACTTCAAGAAAAATTAATTAAAATAAATACAAAACCAAAGTTTTATTCAGAAAATGAACAAATTAGAAGAAAAATACAACAATTAGAAGAACTACTTTTAAAAGAACTAGAATATATATTTTATAATATAATACCATTAAAATTAGCAAAAGAAAAATTATCTGGACCTAACGAAGTATATAATTGGATAACAGTAAATAATTACGAATACCAAGGATATTACAACCAATTAGTAGCTCATAGTACTACTGACTATAATTCAGAAGAAAATCATAGAAAACATACATTCAATATTATAGATCTATATACAAAAAATGGAACAAACAATATTTCCATCTGAGACCGTACCGAGTATTAAGCTGTCCCAAACAGCAATATTCAGGTGTAATGAAAATGGACTACCTGCTATACTACTAGCATAATGAATAAACCCAAATAAAATATACTACTCCTGGTATGGAATACCCGGAGGCAAACAAGAATATACACATGAAACATTCGAATGAATAGCAGAAAGAGAAACCTTAGAAGAAACTAGAATACTTATTTACCAAGAAAAACTTATAGAAATCAAACATAGTTATTATCCACCAAAAGACACTAATGGATATAACACCGAAAACGCAACTGAAATAAAAACATATATTCACCCTGCTAATAACCAAGAACCACTACAAATGGAACCAAACAACCATGGAACCTGGAAATATTATACAAAAGCAGAAATATTAAACCGAATCATAATAACACCTAAATTACAATTACAACTCAACTTAATATTCTATTCAATAGAACATTGTCAAAAAATATTAGATTATAAATATAAAGAAGAAGACGAAGCCGACTCAGAAAATGAAGAACAATTTGAAAAACTAGAATTACCAAACTTTACTCTGAATGAAGCAACGGACTTCATAAACAAATCATTCGAAAATATACAACCAATTGAAGTATACCAAGTAAAGAAAACCATTCAAAGCATTGAACAACAAGTATATAAATTAAAAGAAACTCAGAAAAAACTCAACATAAAACTGAAAAAATATTATCAACAAAGATTCACTATAATCTTCTGATCACCACAAAGACCCCAAGTATTACAAAACTTAGGAAATGGACCAACACTATCACGACTCCATAAATCCGAAATAGCATACCAACTAATCAAAAATGAAAAATTCAAATTTAGAATTGTACAACAAGAAAACTTCACCAATGGAACAATCGGCGGAATCAAAATACGACCATTAACTCAAACAATATAAATACGAAGCACAATAGAAAATCTCATAATAACATATCCACATTACATAATGATGTAATAAATAAAAAAATTAGACGATCAAATTACTAAAATTAATAAATCACCGGTAATACAAATCCGGACATGTCTAACTGTTACTGACCCCTTGGCGGTGAGAGTGAGATTCGCATGTACAGGTAATTCGGCCATCCTATTGGTTCGGCCTTGTTTGTCGCCCCTTAATCGTTTGTTGGCGTATTTCCTCTTTGGGAGGTAAATCCTTTGGAAATTCTCCATTTATATCCAATTTATGTGGATCAAATGTCATGGAAGGTGATACTCTCCTATATCGGGTCTGATGCTCATTTTCGTAATACGGTATTAGTGATTCGAATAATCTTTCTTTGTACAGATGGATGCTTGGCATAAAGAGTTTATGTTTCACTTGTTCATATGATAAATATTGAAATGGTCCTTGTTTATCGTCTTCTTTATTCTGAATTGTCTTCTTTTCCTTATCATCCAATTTATATAAGTATATTGGTATGACAACTCGGTTTGTTGTTGTTACTTCTCTTCTTGCCACTTGATTGTTGTATAACGGTTGTGTCCCACTTTTGTTGTTTGAATAATAGTTGTGTATCATTATTAGTTGTATTCGTGAATCGTCTATTTTAAGATTAATTTCTTCCATTGCTTCCCTTTTGATACTTTGATAATATGTTTTGTCTTTTGGTTCATATTTTCCTCCGAAACATGACCATTGGTTCTGGTATATGTTACATCCGATTCTTTGTGCCGCTAAAATTTTAAATATCATTTTGGTTCCTTGTTTTTCAGTTATATATGGAATTATTACTGTATATCCACATGTTATTCCTATTTCTATTTTTGGTAATACTGGTAAGATAGACACTTCTTCTAATTGTGGTGATTCATATCTTTAATTAGTCCATCTTTGGTTTGTTTCATGATTCTTTATGGAAGGTTTTTTGGTTATTAACGTTCTAATCATATCATTAAGATTTCTATGATTATTATTTATTTCAACGTATGTTGGGTATACTTCATTAATAAATTTTTCGTAGGCATCCCATATTTCTTCAAGGTATTCTTTTGTAACCTTGTCTTTGGTGAGGTTCTGTTCTTTCAATCGTTCCTCGTGTTGTCTAATTATTTCTTCTTTAGTTGGTTTGCAATATATTATTGTTGGATTGCTTTGTTCTAATGAGTCCTTTAATTGTTGTTTAATTTCTTCCAATAACATTTTCTCTAATGGTTCTTTAAAGTATATGTTTTCAAATATTTTGGTTTCCATGAATGTTCTATCCATGATGATATAGGTTGATTCATCGATCATTCCTTTTTCTTGCATTAGTAATAGTTGGTACCATTTTTTTTGGTATTCTTGTAGGATGCACATTTGTCTAACAAATGCATATTTTTCTTTATTTTTATTCATCTGCGCTAATGGTTCAGATATTTTATCTGGTAATCCATCTACTCGGAATATTTTTTGATTTTGTTTCTCAAGATATTCTATAAGTTGTTTTGCTAGGGTTGTCTTTCCAGCTACTACTGCTCCTGTTAGAATAATAATGTTTGCTTTTACTATATGTTTCATTTCTTGTCTTCTAATTAGTTCCTCGTATTCTATTTTTGGTGTTATCTTGATCACTGGTTCTTCTTCAATCCCTATTTGTTTTCTAAACTTTTCTCTTAACCTTTTGTTTTGGAGTTTTGGTAATTGAGAAGTCATTGTTGGTTATCGGCTTCCCTTTGTATTCTTGAGTATCTAATTTGATTGGTACTTGTTTGTAAATCCCTTGTTAATTTGTCAAGAATTTCTAATAGTTGTTCTTTAGTCGTTCTTCTTTTTGTTATGTTGTAGATTTTGATTTGTATTTTTCTCAAGATTTTTTGTTGCTCTTGGTTTATTGGATATTCTTGTCGTTCCTGACTTGTCTTTAGAAACTCTCTTCGTATGTCTCTCTGGATTTCTTTAATTGATTTTACTGGTAGTAGTGATAATAAATTGTTTCTTCGGGCTATCTCGTTGTGTCTTCGATTTAGTTCAATTCTTTCTTTTTAGAAAGTGAAATTGATTTTTCAATAATTCAATAAATCTATGGTATTTTTTAACTTCTCGTTTTATTCTTCCTTCTGGGCTTTCTAATATTATTGTTAGAAATTCAGATAGTGGAATCTGAAATGTTATTCTTGGTTGAGTTATTTCTTCTCCCCATAAGGGACTTTCTATTTCTGTTTCACTTATCTCTTCTTGTTGTTGATTCATAAATTTTCAAGTAGTATTTTAATTTTTTTTTGTAACAGTTCAATAGTTTGTTTCTGGATTGGGTTTTCGTCAAGAAGGTAATCAATTCTTTTATTAATATTACAATCGTTTAATGCTATTGTTGGTAATGGTATTCTTTCTT